TTAAGCTTTGTACACTTTTCTTCATTCTTTTTTTCCTTCTGTTTCCCACACTCCGTAATTTCACTTGTATGATTTCAAGTTTGTGATTATGTACTCTGCCTGCTCTGTCTGCTGTTGGTTCCCTCCAGTAGAATTTTAAGTTTCAGTTCTTGTATTTTAGCTCTAATATTTCTGTTTGGTTCCTTTTATAATTTCTGTCTCTGTTGATATTCTCATGTTGTTCATTTGTCATTTTCCTGGTTTCCTGTGTGTCCATGGTTTCCTTTAGCTCTTTCAGCACATTTAAGATAGCTGATTTGCCCTAGCCCAGTGGTCGGCAAACACATTAGTCAACAGAGCCAAATATCAACAGTACAACGATTGAAATTCTTTTGAGAGCCAAATTTTTTAAACTTAAACTATATTGAAGGTACATTGTTATTAACTTAATTAGGGTGGCCTTTGCTAAAAATGTCCTCATTTTATAATAATAAAGCCACCAACACAAAATAATTGCAATTCTTAAATTGATGACAAAAATACCTGTAGGATTTGCAGCTGGTTGGAAAAATACAGGTAACTTTATGCTTCGAGTAGGTAATTTTGTCACCCGCTCGCGATTTGCGGACACGTCTAGCACTAACCACTGCACAATAAGACTGCTGACTGACTGGCTCAGTCAACTCGTGCATGAATCACGCGCGCCTCCCCCGTGCTGCATATCCCGTGGCGCACCTGCACCGCGTCTCCCGTCGCCCAACCGACCGACACCTCCCACTTCTTCTAACGCCACTTCTTCAAAATAGTCTCGCCCAGGCCGAAAACCGACTTCTGCGCATGGGCCACGAAGTTTCAATCGCACTGTATGTGCGCTCCCGCACGTGGTATTTTGTGAAAGAGCCACACTCAAGGGGCCAAAGAGCCGCATGTGGCTCTCGAGCCACGGTTTGCTGACCACTGCCCTAGCCTGTTTGGTCTGATAATAGAGCATTGGCCCCCAGACTGAAGGGTCTTGTGTTCAATTCCGGTCAGGAGTACAGAGGTCGGTTGCAGATTTGATCCTTGGCCCTGGTCGGGACATGTGCAGGAGGCAACCAATCGATGAGTCTGTCTCACATCGATATTTCTCTCTGTCTCTTCCCCTCCTTCCACTCTCTCTAAAAATTGGTGGAAAAATTATCCTTGGGTGAGGATTAACAATAGCAACAACAAAGACAGCTGATTTAAGTCTTTATTTAGTAAGTCCAAAATCTAGACTTCTTCAGGAGTGGTTTCTGCTAATTATTTTCCCCTTTGAATGAGCCATGCTTTTCTAATTGTTTGCATGTTTTGTGATTCCGTATTGAAAACAGGACATTTGAATAGTGTAGGTAGTAACTATGAAAATCAAATTCTCATTTCCCCCAGTATTTGCTGGCTTTATTTGTTGAAGACTTAGCTTGTGTTTAGCCATTGTTTTGGCTAAGATTTTCTTGAACACCAGGAGCTTAATTTGCCTGAGCCTTTACTTCTTACTTCCATTGAGACTAATAGTGAAGATTAGGGTCTGCTCAGGTCTTCTCTGTGCAGTGTCCTGCTCTGGGCGTGCACATGGCTTTCTAGGTTCCCGAGTACACAACACTGTGAACGCCCTATTATCCCAAAGAAGCTCTCTTGCATGCTTTCCTGTCCTGGCTTTACACCGCCTGCGTATGTCTCAGTCATGATCTTTGGCTCTGAGCAATTGTGGATGTTTTGATTGTCTTGCAATGTTTTTAACCATACACGCCATTTTTCTGCCCTGACAGAGTTCCCCATTTGGTCAGGCAGAGATATGCGAACCTTGTGTCAGCCCTTCAGGTGGCCTCCAGACAGATTAGGACAGACATACAAAATAATTTGTGAATAAGATCTCTGCTCCCTCCAGAACCATGGACCAGGTACCACACTGGGAATGTAGGCTGCCTTCTTCAAGATAGCTGTAAAGCCAGGCAGGGGATGGGCCACGGGCCAGTAAGATACCACGGTGCTTTTCTACTTTCAAAATTTTGCCTTTTTCTTTATTTGCCTTTTGCTTCTACTTGATTGCTACAGACCTTTAACTGTTTTCTGAAGTTTTGATAAAGTTAGTTCTGACAGTTTCTGGTTGTTCTTTCAGTGTTTCTGTGGAAAAATGAAAGTTTGGAGCTACCTACTCTTCTATTTTGCTGACATCACTCTTAATGAGTTTCTGTGTGTTTGTGTATATTCTGTCAGTTATTGAAAAAGGAATTTTTAAATTTACCATCATGGTCATAGGTTTGTGTATTTCTTATTGTAGTTCTTTTGGTTTTTGCTGTATATTTTTTTTGAAGCTATGTTATTGAGTATATTCAAATTTAGATTTATCATGTCTGACTTGTGAGTTGAACTTCTAATATTACCAAGTATTTCTATTATGACTTTTTTAAAAAATATATTTTTATTGCCCTAACTGGTTTGGCTCAGTGGATAGAGTGTCGGCCTGCGGACTGAAGAGTCCCAGGTTCAATTCCAGCCAAGGGTACATGCCTGGGATGTGGGCTCGATCCCCAATAAGGAGTGTGCAGGAGGCAGCCAGTCAATGATTCTCTCTCATCATTGATGTTTCTATCTCTCTCTCCTTCTCCCTTCCTCTCTAAAATTAATAAAAATATTTTAAAAGAATAAAATAAAATACATTTGTATTTATTTCAGAGAGAAAGGGAGAGGGAGAGAAAGATAGAAACATCAATGATGAGAGAGAATCATTGATCAGCTGCCTCCAGCACTCCCCCTACTGGGGATTGAGCCACAGTCTGGGCATGTTACCTGACTGGGAATCAAACTGTGACCTCCTGGTTCATGGGTCAGTGCTCAACCACTGAGCCACGCCAGCTGTGTTCTATTATTATTTTTGCCTTTAAATATACTTTGTCTGAAATTGTTATAACTGTACTAGGTTGTGTTGGATTATTATTTGCATGGTGTATGATTTCCCATTTTTTACTTTCAGTCTTCCTATAACCCTTGTTTTAGATGTAGCTCTTGTAAACAGCACATAATTTGGGTCTGTTTATTTTTTCTGTCTTTAAATTATTTTGTTTATTTACATTTAATGTAAATTATGAAAGCCTATCTTTTTCTTACCCATTTTCTAGACACTACAAAGACCGTAAAACATTTTAACTGCATTTACTTCCCTCCTGGCATTTATTGTTTAAATTATGTATGGCCTTTCAATCCCACAACACAGTTTTTATACAGTTAGTTTTCATCCATTTCCATGTTTACCAGTTGTGCCATTTCGTTCCTTCTTGCTTCTGATCTCCCATCTGGAATCATTCTGGAGATCCTTTCTGTGTACCAGTGACTATTTTTTCAGTTTTGGTCTAAAAATGTCTTTATTTCATTAGCATTTTTGGAGGATATTTTCAATAGTTATACGATTCATGTTGACATTTTCAATCCATTGTTATTTAGCTACACTTGTTTTTGTTGGAAGTAAGCTGCCAATCTGTATGTTGCTCCTTTGAAGATAATAAATGTTTTTTCTCCTGGTTTCTAATAGTTTAATTTTCAGAGGATTTATTATGTGGTGCCCAAGAATATAAATTTTTATCCTGCTTAGACTTCAGAGGGCTTCACGACTCCAGGGCTTGATTTCTTGATCAAATTTTATTTCCCCCATTATCTGTTCCCATACCGCTCCTGCTGCACTCGCCTCTCATCCTAAGACTCCAGTCCACTTGTAATTTATTTATTTATTTTTTTTGAGAGTAAGGGAGAGGGGGAGAGAGAAAGAGAAACATTGGTATGAGAGCAAAACATCAATTGGCTACATCGTGCACTGGCCCTACTGGAGGTCGAACCCACAACCAGAGCATGTACCTGACCGGGAATTGAACCGGAAACCTTTTGGTGCATGGAAGGATGCCCAACCAGCTGAGCCGCACTCTGTCCTTGATCTCTTACATCTTTTGTCTCTTGATACTTTATTCTGGATATTTTTACAGTCTCCAGTTCTGTGTCCAAATTCTCAGTCTTCTTTCTCCTCCACTTAGTATTTATAGTTTCCGTTTTCTGTTTCACCTAGTATTACCTTGTCTTTTCTTGTGACTTTTGTACAATGCGTGGGGGATAGTATATTTGAAAATTTATCTGTAAAAAGAATTTGAAGCCTTCAAAGTAGGTTCTTTATTATTTTTGTTTGCCTTTGGGCATTCTTTTTGGCTATCTTGTGTAAAGTTCCTGGTCAAGGAACTTTACTACTTAAAAGTTGAAATAACTCTTTATTGTTGACTTATTGGAGTTCTTTGTCTATCCTTCACCATGTACAGCGGACCCTTGGACAGTGCCAGGGCTGAGGGTGCTAACCCCCATGCCGCTGAAAATCCATACGTGACTGTCATCAGCCTCTGCATATGGGTCCCCACTGCGCTGGAACAGCAGCTGGCCTTGAACAGCACAGGCTTGACCTGCTCGGTCACTGAGATGTGGGTTTTTCTGCTAGTCTGTGGCTTGTCTCTGTTTTCTTATTGTAAATATGTCTCTCTTCTCCGCGTCCAGCACGGCTAGAGAGCGGTCCGGTTCCTGAGTAGGGGCGGCTGGGGATTGGGAAAATGAAAGAAAGAGACAGACACAGAGATGGAAGAAAAAAGCTGGGGCCGGGTGGGACCACTGTCCTCTGATGATGAGACAGGGACAGGGACCCCGAGCCAATACAGCGTGTTTATTTTATACAGCAAAAAACAGGAAGTTTTACTAAAAGTCAAGACAAAGGAGATTATGTGCATTCTTGGGTATTCATTCCTGGTGCTCGGCTGGATTTAAATAACAAAACCCACCCCCTGGCACCTGGTTTTGGCAAAGTGTGTTTCCAGGACATGGCTTTGCCAACGCCACTGGCTGCAGCTGACAATTAAAGAAATGCCCATGTGCCTTCCCAGGCGCTCTCTACATCTTATGGTGAAAGTGAAATGGCAGGCCTTTTAATTTTGTTTATCAAATTATTTATGTTCAGTAATATTTTTGTTCTATTTAAGGAATCTTATCTCTTCCAAGACCAGGAGACATTCTCCTGTTTCCGCTGTTGCAGCCAGCCTGTAAGCACCTCAGGTTAGCTCTGTGTATGATGTGATGTGGGCTCAGGTTCCCCCATGCACAGCTCCGGTTGTACCAGCATGTTCCTTGTTCAGCAGCAGCTGTGCAGGTCCCTGTTCTGAAGTCGTCTTGTTCCACGGAGCCATTCTTTTGTCCATGTGGCAACGCTCCTCCCTCCGAATCACTGCGGCTTCATAGTAAGTTTCCTGCCTGACTGTGTAAGGCCGCCAGCATCGATCTTCTTCAAGAAGTTCTTGATTTTTCTAGGTTCTTAATATCTCCATGTATGTTTTAGAAACAGCCCATCAATTTCTACAGAATTGCCTGCTGGGATTTTAACTGGGATTGTATTGGGGTTGTTTTTTTTGTTGTTTAACTGGGTGAGATTTGACATATTAACAGTATTGAGTGTTCCTATGAACCTGACATATCTGTTCATTTATGTCTTTTTTATTTTCTCTCAAAGAGAAAATAAAAGTTTTGTAGGATTCAGTGTAAAGTTGTTATACATAATTCAGTAAATGCATCCCTAGGGAGTAGATGGTTTGGAATGCCAGTTGTAAATTGTATTGTTTTAAAATTTTATTCTGCGGGTGTATGTTAGCAGAGAAATGCAGTTGAGTTCTGTATCTTGTAACCTGCAGACTTGCGAAATTTGCTTGTTAGTTCTAGAAATTGTTCACTCTTCGGGGTTTTCTCCATACACAATCTTGTCATCTGTGAATAAAGCTGGTTCCACTTTTTCTCCGGTCTGTGCCTCCACTCCTCCCCTTGCCTCGCTGGGACTTCCCACGCGTGTGGGCTGGAGCAGAGGGTCTGGGGGAAGAGCATTGGGAGAGCGAGAGCGCCCGCGGCTGTCCCTCCAGGTGTTCCCGGGGCACACCCCGTAGTGGGTGAGGTTTTATCTTTTTTAGTTGCTGGGTTCGATCTGCTAACAGTTTGTTAGGGGATTTGAAGTTTGTTGGCCTCTGTTCTTGCTGCAGCTCCTGAGGTTTCCGCACCAGAGCCTGCTGGCCTCCCCGACCTCTCTGTTCACTGCCCGCCACCCCCGTACTTTTGCTCTGGGGTGTGGGGAGCAGGGGGCTGCCCTGCCATTGGCTCGCAGGCTCTGGGCACTGCCCCTCACAGCTCCTGGGCTCTGTCACCCTGTAAGGCACTGACCAGTCAAATAGGAGGCCTCGGGTTGGGGTGCGTGGTCTCTCGCGATACCCTCAGAGGTCTGGCCTCCGCAGGGGCTCTGGCCTGTGGATGGCGGGGGTCTGGCCCAGAGGTGCCCGGGCTGCAGATTGGAGAGTGCGGAAAGGCGGGCCTCTGCTTCCTGCCCCTCACTGTCACTCTGGTGTCTGCTGTCAGGAGGCGCCCATGGCAGGTCTTGGGACACTGTCCCCTGAGGATGGGGACACTGCAGGACCGGCCGCTGGGGGCCAGCTGATTCAGCCACATGTGCCTCCCCTTCTTTGTCTTGTAAGATGAACACACCTCGAGCAGCAGTGGGGACACCATGTTTGGGCCCTGGCGTCCGGCCCTCTACCCACCACGGTCATTCCTGGAAACTGCCCTGGCCCTGCCCGTGCCCATGCCAGGTACTGCCCTCTCTGGCCTCTCCGCCCCACCCTGTGCATTGGCCTCTGGGCAGTACAGAAGCCCGCTCCCAGCTCCTGTGTCCTGGGGTCCCTGAGCCACCCAGGCTGGCAGCCGGAGCTCTACCTGGGGGCCGGGCGTGGGCACAGCCGGGGGGCCCATGCTTCCTGAGTTCCTGTGGCCACCGTGGTCAGCATGCCAGGCCCCAGGCCGTGGATCCTGTAGCTCTGTCTAGCCACTTTGCCAGACGGAACGTGTTGAACTGAATGCCCATAGGAGTCGGGCTGTGGTTTGGCCTGCTGGTCCTGCCCCACCTGCCCGAGGTGCCCCAGGGAAGGGCCTGCTGATGACCCCACTTACCCCCAAGGTTCCCACAGGCCACACTCACCATCTTGCATCCACTTTCTGTACTTGAATCGAAGCTTAGCACGTTGTAATCGCCCTGCAGGATTACAGTGCCTGGGACTGATGGAAAGAGATGTATAAAATCATGTATTGGAAAAGGAGTATCTCATTGACAACAGGCGTGTGTGTTGATACCTTATTTCCCATTTTAAGTTGCAGAGAGAGATCAGTGGTTTACAAATCGGAAGCTGCAGTCTGACCTTTAGGTGCTGTAAGTGGTCATTTTTTAAAATTGAACTAGTGACCTTGACTATGAAGAGTTGCAGATGGTGGGGAGCTCTGCTTCCTGCGTGTAGGAGGCCTCTCGGGCTCCACGTCCCTGGGCGCAAACATGGGCACACCCACAGCTGCAGGCTGGGCACTGCCCGGCGCCAGGGTGCGTGGTCCCGGCCGTGCGTTTGTCTCAGTGAGGAACGTTAGCAGCTGTGTTTGGCTGTGTGGAAGCTGCTGGAAAGTGCTAGGTGAGCAGACGAGCCCTCGCCCTCGGGCCCACAGCCAGGCAGGACTGCTGTGAGCTGGGAGGTGAGGGTGTCGGCTCCTGGGAGCTGCCTCCTTCCTGCAGGCACAGCACCCCCTTGGCCTGCGCCCCTCCTCCCGCCCGCCTCCTTCTTTTCCCCAGGCCTGGGGCTGCCTGCGCCCCCCTGTGGCCTGCTCTACCCCTCCATCTCCCCTCCCCCACCCCTGGAGCCCCAGGCTGCTCTCCAGATTCCATGGCTGCCCAGCAAGGGGCAGTGGGACTGGCCCAGAGCGGCAGGAGCCTGGCGGAGCTGGAGGCCCTGCCCCTCACTGGCCGCTGCTCGGGAGGCCCTGGGGGCTGCGCAGCTGTGGCTGCAGACACCGTGTCCTGGGGACCTGCCAGCACGGCTCAGGGCTTTGGTGTCTATGTGTCACTCCGTCAGTTCAGTGAGAATTGACTTGGGAGGCTGTGCAGCATCTTCTGCCGGCTGCGCGCGCGCGCGCGGCTTCTTTCTCCGCGAGGTGCCCCTCGGTCTCTTGCTGAGTTTTGTGTCTGGAAGCCCCACCCCGCGCCCTGCAGCCCACTGCACCCTCGGGAGTGTTGGCGCTCGGCCTTGTACACGCAGGGCCAGTGGCACAGAATCCCCAGGAGACTGTATATGAAGGAGAAAAATAAACATTTTTGTTGGAAAATAGTGTGAAACAACATTTTTCTTACTCTGTGTCCACATAAAAGCCGAACCAGCGAGCCTCACAGGGAGGACAGGAGGCGGCAGCCGGGTGGGCGGGCGCAGGGGCGCCGTCGCCCGTGGAGTCAGGCTCGGGAGACGTGAGTGGGGTCCTATGGACTCGGGCCTCTGCTCGGCCCGCGGGTGCGCCTGGGCCCCCAGGATGGCGGCCTCACTCTCCACCACTCTGAGCTGAGCTGCATGCCGATCCGGGGGCGCTGTCCACGGACAATGTGAACCTCATGGTCAACCAAACGGGGTCCCCACCCCTGTCCACAGGGGCTGTTTCCAGGAAAGCTGGGTTTGCGGACCCTGCGGGCCCTGCCGGGGGAGGGCCAGGCTCCAGCCTTGTGAGAGGAGGGTTGGGGCTGGGCCACCCACGGTCATGGAAGTGCCTCTGTTGTACGGGAGGCACAGGGCCCGGTGCCGGCTGGGTTTGGGAAGGGTCCTCCTCCTGACCGACCCCCTTTCGCTCCCCCCTCCCCCACCCTGTGGGACTCAGCATGTGTTTCTGGCCTCTTGCTCCGTGGCCTGGGCCCTGCACTCAAGCTGGGGTCACAGTGCCTTCTGTCCACCGGCGAGGCGGCCGCCCCATCTGCAGGCCTCACTCCCACTCCCCCTGTCATGCAGTCAGGTCTGGGGCCTCTGCTCCGGAGTGGGGACCCCCAGCTGCCTTGGGTGCCTCAGCTCACTGCTGGCCTTGGCCGAGGCCGGGCAGCTCGTGGTTGCTGTGCCGCAGGAGCCGGAGACGGCTCTCCCTGCCAGCCCGGGAGTGGGGGGCTGGGGGTGCTGGCTGGTTCGGGCAGCTGCTTAGTGTGCAGGCGGCCGGCCGGCGGGCATGGGGCAGGCTGCAGGCAGGCCTCCCAGGAACGGAGCCCCACTCCCCAGGCCCGGGCGGCCAGTCGGGCCTGTAATGAGCTGTGGTGGTTTTGTTTTCTAGATTCTGAGAGTGAGAAGCCCAGCTGAGCCCAGGCAGGCTGACCCGACCCCGACGCAGGCCCAGGTCGTCTCATGCAGAGAAGGCGAGTGCGCCTCGTGTCCGCTCACACTGTTTTGTAATCACTTTCTAAGCATTTTTTTTATTCACAATTGGAAACACAAATGTAATGCAAGAATAAAGAATATTTTGGGGGAAAAAGGACTTTGGTTTTTCAAACTCTCCTTTTCAGTGGCTCCCAGAGGAGCAGACGGCCTGAGACGGCAGCGGGGTGGGGGTGGGGGGTGGGGTGCTGGAACGCTCGGGGACCGCAGGGCAGTCTGGGTGCCCTTGGCCGAGGTTTCTGGGTGGTGATGAGCTTTGCAGTGTCTGGGGTGCTGCAGTGCCCTGGTCACCCCCAGCAGCAGCCTCCGTCCTGGGTGGCAGGGGGCCTGGCCATTTCCAGGTGTCTCCCCCTCGGGCCCAGGGCAATGCCCATTCTTTCCGGGTCCCTGGAGGCTGAGCAGCGGGGCCTACCTCAGGTGATGGCGCGGGCCTGCAGGACTCCGACCTCTGCACGCTTCGCTCCATCCATTCCGCCAGCCTTGGCTCTCCTGCTCCGGACACTTGGTGTGTGCCCCCCACACGCTGGCACGGGCATCCCACGGCCTGAAACGCTCTTCGTCCTGAGTCCACAGTGCAGGTCTGCTGTCCCCCGTGGCCCTGGGGCACGCTGTGAACAGGGGCAGCCTGCGTGTCATCCCACAGGGTCGGGTGGAACCCAGCCTGGCCCAGACCGCTCATGCTGGGGCCAGGCCAGGGCCTGGGCAGGACGCGGGCTCCATGCTGGGGTGGGAACTGCATCCTTGTTTTCCCTGATTTCCGGGTAGCGACTGAGGGCTTGCTTGGGGAGGAATGGGGGTCGGGATATCAGCACCTGGGGTGTCGCCGCTGGAACCCCCAGGTGCTGTGAACGATGTTGCGGCCGTGGCAGGTGTCCCCAGACCTCATTGGCGTTCCTCACAAAATGCCAGCCCTGGGCCGCGCTCCTGTCCAGCTGCCGGTGAAAGGTGAGTGGGTGGTCTCCTGCCTCCCGCAGCTCCCCAGGCTCAGGGCGCCGCGGGCTGCCCACCCATCTCTCACCAGTGGACCATCCCGTCTGCGCCTGGGCCTGCGCCGGGCTCCAGACCTGCTCTGCCCTGTGATAAGCAGAGGCGCACGGTGCAGCGGCTGGGACGCAGTCCTGGGTTTTCACTCTGTTTGGTTTGTTCTCCCGTCATCTGTGACTCATGTTACTGGGTTTCTCTCAGTTTACCTTTTTGGACAGCAAATTTATTTAATTCATTCCTTTTAAGCAAGTAACATACAAGTGCTAATGGTAAAATTGGTACGATAGTAGCTAATGTAAATGGGGGATAATACAGGAGCTGATGTAAAGCTGCGTGGGGCAG